CTTCATTGTTGCACAATTAGTAGATGTATTTTTATAAAGTGAGCTGTACATAAACTTCTACTAGTTATTGGATGTAAGGTGGTGTGTGTTTGTGTAATGTATGAGCGGTGGCCGAGGAGATCAATACCGTAAATTGAGGTGTGAAAAATTATCAGTTTCTGTCAGCTATAGGTTTAAAGACTAAGGGAAAACTGTGGAAACTCTTGACATTTTCAAAGATATTAGTGTATGACCAGCAAAGGTTTTGTTACAAATGGTCAACAGTGTTGAAGAATCAAATGGGAAGCTCCCAGGAACAACATGCTGTCGTATATCAGAACTTCAACCTGCCTGGACTGAACAGAAGTACAAGATATTCAGCACTCAGAGACATAAGCAAGGTCAGGATGACTGAAAACACCCAGATTAGTTCCAAGGAAATCTGAAAATTGATGTTTTAAAGGTTTTATGGGCAGATGAGATGAGCAGCTCTTGACAGAACCAATGGATGGGTTGGATCAAACTAGTAAAGATGCCTACTTTAGCTCAAGTTGAAGTAGGTAAAAAAAACAAAACAAACAACTTCCTAATAACTGTACACACTGTATAATGCACATGTGTCAAACTCAAGGAACGGGGGCCATATCTGGCCCGCTGTAGCTTTTTATGTGGCCCTCTAGGCTCCAAATTACCGTACATCAATAAGCCCCTCCCGTTTTTCCTCAAAATTCACACAAAATCAACAGATCCCACATTTTTTCTGATTTTTACTGCAAATGTTTCTCAAAATTGGTCAAAAACATTGAGTTTAAGTGACTGCTGCCTCAGCCTTACTTAATGTCAAGTAGTAAAATCACATGTAACATCATACATTATCTCAAATAAATTCCTTACAAATATTCCTAAATTAGCATCCCATCACAAAAAAAACTCCTGGAGGAACAGCTATTTATTCCTATTTTAACAGTTTAATGGCTCTTATCAACAAATTCTGGCACAACCGGCCCTTTAAGAACATTCAGAATTTTGATGTGGCCCAAAGTGGAAATGAGTTTGACACCTCTGGATGTGTTTTGTTTTTTAGATTATGCTTTCCTTTTTTCAGTTTCAAAGTTTCAAGGAAGTTCTAACTGGAAATCTCTGATTTTCGGTTCCACGGGGTCATAAATAAGACGTGAAGTAAAGACCCATTTCTAATCCCTGACTGCTAGGCTGGATGAGAACCCAGACATTTCTTACTGTCACGCGTTGTGAACAGAAAGTCTGTGGATCCGTTTCTCTTCCAAATGTCCTGGAATGATGTTGAACTGCTAACTTCATAACTTCCTTCAGCATGATAAAGATCCCAAAACACTTAGCACAAAAATGAACATACAAATAGTTCAAAAGACACAAAATCAACATCTTTCATGGCCGTCTCAAGCCTCAGATGTAATTCTAGTAAAAAGCCTGTTAGATGAATTAAAAAGAAGATAGAATAAGAGAAACTTCTGGATAATCGATTGGCTTACAGGGTCTTTATTATTAAAAACAACCATCCCAGCGTTACAGAGTCACTTTGTAACCAACCAGATGATTTAATTTGAGACTCCTTACCTCACTGGGATGTTTTCTGTACATGTTGATGAGCTGAGGTTGGCTGCTGGCAGTATCTCTGTTGTAGTTGTCTGTACAGCAGCTGTTGTGTCCCTGGTCATCAGTCATTTTTTCCAGTGAGTAAGCATCATGCAGCTCCCTCCTGTGTGCTTGTTTGTTTTACTGCAGCTTTCACTGAATGACTGCAATGCTCTTTAGCATTTGAAATCTGTATACTGTTTATATTACCAGAAAAAACAACAAAAAAACAAAAACAAAAACAGCTTAAAAAATCTAACTAAAATAAGAATGATGAAGCAAATAGATTTTAATAACACTGAGCTTCGACTAAAGGAAAACTGAAAAGGTTGCATATCTAGTTTTCTTTTTAAAACATCCAGCTTTCTGTCAAGGTTAATGAGAATTTGGTTAAAATGTGAGGGACCAATAAGTGAACCTTGGAGAAACTCATAAGTTAAATTAAAACAGTTTTCTGAATCTACAGTTCAATCAAGGACAGTTCTAGTATTTTGTTTGTTAGGATTTTGTGGATAGAAGTTTAAATACTGCACTTAGGTCTAGTTTTGAAAAATGTATCCTTATTCATAGGAAATATCTGAATAGGTTTTAAATAAAAGGAAGTGGGTATCTTATCACAAAATCAGATTTTCGGTTGTATCCCTAAAATAATTGCTTCGCATTTCAGCATATTAGTGAGTGCCTAGAGAATTACATTAATAATGGTGTAAACGAATACAGAAATTGAAAGTATAAAACAACGAACAATTATCATACGATAATGAATTTTGTTGGGAGGAAACACCAGTAATCATATATTGTTTTCATTTTGTTCTTCTGTTTCTTATATTGCCCTGGATTACATCGTAGTAAATACAAATTTAAAAAAAACTGGACACATGGGATACGTCAGAAAATATTCGATAAAGAAATCATAAATTCTTATTTGGCTAACTCAGCCTTTATTATTTTGAAAAATGAGATCAGAACTCCTGGGTTAGTGTGTTTTTTATTTTGTAATGAAGCAGCATTCCTCTTGAGATGCTGGACTCTTTTCAAAACAGAGAGAAAAAACTTTCAGCTGCTACCGTCCACCTTCTTTTTCTTCTTGGGACAAAGAGTGAGTATATAGTCATGCCAGAAATAAGAAGCACATTATTTTTAAATGCAGTTTTGGTAAAAAGAAAAAAGAAAAAAAAAGAAAGAAAATCTACACATTATGTCAATTCTATGGTAAAGACCAGATGATTTCTACTTTAAATCCAGTTTCTTACGTTATTTAAATCCCCAGAATCCTTAAGGCACACAAAAAACCCAAACAATAAGAGTCATTAACATTTACACTCTATAGGGTCAATTTGACTTCAGCTCCACTGAATAAATTTGTCCAGATCTGCCAAGTCTTATATACCGTATCTATTTTTTCCCCTGACATGAAAAAACAATAATAAAAAATACGTATGCTAGGAAAAAGTCTCAGTTTTTTAGGTTAAAAAGAGAAAACGTTTGTTTTGCTTATCAGGTTCCTCAATGAAGAAAAATATCAACATTTTATTATACAAGAGAAAATTGATGGTAATTCTTATATTTTATATTCAACAAAAATGAAAAAAAAAACAACATATAATTTGTGATCTAATAAAAAAAGTGAACATCATATTTTCTTTCACAGCTGTTTTAGCAGTTCTCTACAGATATTTAATTAAAACAAGGCTCTCAAACACAGCATATTAGTTTTTCTCTTTTCATTATCCGTCTGTCCGTCTCTGTCCGTCCGTCCGTCTGTCCATCCATCGATCCCCTTTACACCCTTGTCCCTCAGTGGGGTCAGGAGGTGCTGGTGCCTCTCCAGCTGACGTTCCGGGCGAGAGGCGGGGTCACCCTGGACAGGTCGCCAGTCTGTCGCAGTCTTTTCATCATATATGATAAAAGCAAAACTAAATCTCTAATTATAATGCATGCTCTACAAACAGCAAAACCCACAGTTATTAAACGTGTACATAAATAATTATGGACACTCTCTGACCTCAAGATGACTCTCTCTTTCCTGCAGACTCTTCCAGCGAGTTCTGGAGATTTTTTTTTTAACCGTCCTCTGTGTGTGGTGACAAGATAAACGTAGGAATGTAGTCAGATGAATTTGTCACCATGCCATTTGTTAGAAACGTTACAGTTATTGTCCTAAATGCAGATTTTGGCAACTTCTTCCTTGTAACCATCCTGTCATTTCTAATCACAGAGTGACTTGGCGAGTTGGTGTCTGTGGAAACCGGACACCAACTCGCTCTGACACAGTAAGACCTAGAAACACCCAGAAAAGCCGTAGCTGAGATACAAATGAGTTTTATGCTTTCTAGAAATTTCCCATAGTTTAAACTCAATCCAGTGGTAGATTCGCACCTTTCAAAATAAAGCAAACTAAAAAGGAACAAATTGTTCTTGTATTCAAAGTGTTAATGCTCTTTGTCACAAATGATCACAAATCTAAGAGTGTGGGCACACAACCCCATGAGTCTTTTATGAATCCTTTTAATCTCCCACGGCAACCATCCAGCTGTGCAAAACACCTGGGCAGACCTAGCTCCGTCTTCGAGGCACAGCTCTTCAGAGGTGTGGTTTCCAGGCTTTTGAGCTTCCACCTCCTAGATATCCCCTCCACTCTGCTCCTTCAGACTAGCCAGCAGCAATTAGCAAACTGAGCAACAGCTGAGCTCGTTATATGAGCTACTTCTCAGAGCAACGCCGGTAAAAACGTGGTTAAAGGGTTAATAGAGGAGCCATGTTGTGACGACTACATGAAGGCTGAGTTTCAGAAACAGTGTGAGTTTTTAAAGAGACAGAGGCCCAGATTCAAGGTGTCAAATTTCCTTTGCTATAAAATGAGATTATGTGCCTGAAAAATGCATAATTGTACCCCAGCAAGAAGAAGGAAAATTCCATCGAGAGGATAAGGTTATGTACTTGTGCAGTAGATTAGCTTTTAAAAATATATATATATGTAACTTTTAAAAACTTGAAAAAAAAAGTTTGCCAAGTTCTGACTTTGTTGACCTGATTATTGACAGGATGCAGCCAGCTCTGGGTCAGCTGATGGGCGACCTCATCAGATAACAGCCTGGCCCCTGATGTTCGCCCTCTCCACTCAGAGGCATACATTTACCCAAGCTTGTTCAGCTTCAGGAGAACTTTTCAAAGAAAATAACAGAAGTTAAAAAAATAAAAAATAAAAAAAAACATTCACACTGGGACCCTATTGTGTTTTTGAGACTTGACAGCTCATGCTCCCTCTGGCCTCCCTCGTTAACTGTACCGCTGATGCGTTCGTCTCGACAGGTGCTCCTTTCTGAAATGATCACTTAGGTATATTTAGATTTTGAAACCCGAGAGGTCGGGCCTCTGATTGGCTGCGTCAGCCACATGATAACCTGGATAGAAAGTGCAGCTGTGTGCTGTCGCCCAGCGTTTCTCTGGAGGGAGGTTGGGAAGGCTTTGGCGGCTTTGGGAGACCAATAAACTTAAGCATAACTGGTAAGCAAAGGAAAGGATAAATCTACAAAATCCCACTTTTTTTTTATACCACCTGCATGGCTTTCCATCAGCTTGGACTGTCTCCGTTTCTTTTTCCCCACTGGCCTTTGGAATCCCAAAGGAGTTGACTGTGGATTAAGAAGCAAGAGCTCTTTCGTACGTTTTGAAGGAACAAGCAAGAACTTGAGGAAGTGAAGGAACATCAGGGCCAGACGCAGCTTTGGATTTACCTGAAATCCCAGCAGCATTCACCACTTTGATCTCTTTTAAAACCAAGCTGAAGCCTCTTTTTCTTCTTTTTTTCCCCCTTCTACGTCGGCTTTGGTACACATGGTTCCTAGTTTTACAGATAAGATTTAAGTTAAATCTCGAGATCTGGCAATCAGACGCTAAAAAAGGTAGTTAATATGCCGCCCTATATTTAACCTGCAGCCTCAGAAGGCATTGCATCTCCATTTGCTAAACACAGTCAGCCAATCAGGCTCTGGCATTAGCTTACATGTCAAATAGCAGAAGCACCGTTAGGCAGCTGTCGCCAACCTTCAGCCAGGAGGCACCGTTCCCTCAGCTGTGTTGTGGCATGTCAAGGGGCAGAAGGATGGGGGTCGGCTGGGGGGTCCAAAAACACAGAATTAGCTTCTGAACCTTCCTGTCCTGATGTGAATGTGCTGATAAACACTACTGTTGAGACGTTTCACACGTTTTGTCATTTTATTTAGGTGTGTGGCAAATCACAGAGTTGGAATCAGACTGAGGCCCTTGTGAATGGCAAGTGAAGCTTCCTTACTATGGAAATACTGTAGAACTTTACTGCTAGCGTTTTTCTTTTTTTTTTGTTTTCCCCAAAAACTAAGATGAGAGAGGAATGTTTAACAGTTTTGCATGAGTGATTTTTTTTAAGTATTATTTTTATTATTGTTAGTAAGGGACATGCAGAGTGTTGTATGTTCCAGAATAACGGGCTGATTAATATTTCTTGTCCTTGTTAAAACCGTGAATGCCTGAAAGTATCGTCTCTGTTTTGTACAGAGCTTTTAAAACTTGCCAAAATGGCAGACACTGGTGACGAATATGACGAGTTTGGAGATGAGGAAGATGAAGAAATCATGGGGGTGGTAAGTGGATGTCTTCTCACCTCTCAGCAAAAGAAAAACAAACTGGCATGCAAGACTCTTTTCTGTATTGCCAATTGTTTTTCACCTTTTTACTGAATTAAAGCACGTGGATCATTTGCTGGATCTGTAGATTCAACCAGATTACCTAGACTGTTATACTTAGAGATGCAATTTTCATGTGTACCATGTGTCCATACCTGCTGCCATGCAGTTTCCTTTATAAACAGACAACAGTTTTGGAGCATTAACATCTTAAGTGAAGCTTATTTCCTTGCTAAATTGTGGATATTTTGGCTGCACGACATGAGCAACAACCAGCAATAGCCATAGATTTTAAATACATGCATTTGAATCTGTAAATACTGAAAGGCATTTATTTGTTTTTTATTACTTGTTTAAATGTGAATTAGTGTGCTTTCTCCAGGTTATGCGAATGAGGCCTGTAGCTACAACATGTCTCATACCAGTGCATTTCATGTTGTGTTTGTTGTCTCCGTGACAGTGGTTGATGGAAGAGTGAAAGCAGAAGGCTAACAATTAATCCTGAATTTCCAATGGAAACGGGGTTATGGTTAACCTTGTATTCTACATTCACAGTACTGCTGATGTCTTATAGGGGAGCCCAAACGACTCGGGCAAAAACACTGTTCATTCAGTCAGTTTGACTCCCATATAACACATCAACAAACGGATTTGCTGTCTTTCGCTGCAAAGACGCAAATCATTTGGGAGGTGGGACACACGGACAGGTGCAAAATCGATACGCTCTGATTTCACTAGTACTTTCATCTATACTGTGGAGAAAAGTTGCATTGTCTTGCGCAGGACGTGGGACGGCTGTTGTCTAATCTACAGAATGGGGAGAAACATAGTGCTGTCGGGAGACATGATGAAAAATACGTAGCTTACTTTAGAAACTACAGAGTAACTTTTTATTTTATTTTTGGCATAAGTGCCAAGATTCAATTTATGTCTTAGTTTGCTCAGTCATTTGTTGTTGTTTCTTTTATTTCTATTTTCTTTATTGCTTAGAAATGTCATTAAATTGCTTTGACCTGGGGAAAAAAAAAACGGAGAGCAGAGATCTCTGAGTGGCGTTTAGACAAATTTAGAAGTTGAGGAGATGGAGACGTAAAGGGAGAGAGAGCGAGGGCAGCAAAACGAGACGAGCTATAAATCACGCTCCAATGCACTTCTTCAACATGTTAACTTTACTGTTGTGAAAGTTGTGCTTAGTCGGGATGAACGCACTGAGGAACAAAAAAAAAAGTCTGAGTTCATCCATGCCTATGGTTCTCCCCTGTCTGATAGATTTGGATATTTAAGCCTTTTACAAATGTTGATTAAAACGATTGAGATGTTATTTCTCTCAGCTCTGGTTGTCCGATTCAACTTATGGTCAATTTGAAGGATTTCGTTGAAGATAAAGTCATAAGCAGAGTCACAAAACAGGAAAATAATAATAAAAACTTCAAACTTATTGAAGCCGTTTTGATCTGTAGATTAAATCAGATTAATTTGTACTAAGTTTAGGGTTAAGGCGCTCCAAAAATGTGCTTCACATTCAAAACACAATGTCTTTCTTTCAAATAGCCAATATTTGAGGAGGAATGTTGTGTGTTTTACACATCTGGCCAAGGATTTTCTTTATTTCTTACATATTTTTTACAATTTGTCTAATTACTAATAAAGAACATAATTTACACAGATGATTGTTTTTACAGAAAACACTCTGGAGTTTCTAGATAACTAAAATCATCATTAAAAAAAAAAAAAAAGATTCCCAGGTTTTAAAGACATAGTCGCCCCTTAAGCTTAAGGTTTTTTCTGTTATATTTACCATCAAAAGCAACAATTTGTTGCATCAAACCAACTTAATGCAAAGGTCTTACCTACAGCTAAGCTAATTCAATTGAAAACAAGTTAGATATTCATTTCTTTAAAGCACTCAAATGAACTGTAGCTCAAATGTAAATGTGTGGAAGAATAAATATATTTATTACCCTGTAATGTGGATTAAGCAGGCTGCTGCCTCTGCTGTAGCAACTGGTCAACAAAGGCAACGGTCAATGAAATAAATAGAAATATTCTCATCTGGTGTTTCTAAATCTATTTCAGGGATCAAAGACGGGGAGCAGCACGGCTTAAATAGCACAGACAATATTAACGCATTTAGTCCTCTGCTTAATAGAGGCTCAGGTCGATTGCTGCTCAGTGACATCACAGCTTATTTGCAGCCGCGGGGGTTCTTATTCATCTGTAGCATTTCCAGGATGAGAATCTCCTGCTATTCCCCCTACAGATAATATCCTCCAGGGCATTCAAGAACAAAAAAAAAACAAACAAAAAAAACACCAGTGTCAGTCGTTGTTTAACACCAGAGCTGTGGGAAAAATCAACCTCAATCCACACAAAGTGATCTGCTGTTTCTCCCGTTACTTGTTTTGGTGAGGAATCCAAAAGTCTGTCCTTCGTTTGTAATATGTTGAGCAGATTACAACAACAACAACGACGTACTCTGAGGAGCACTCTAAGTCCTCTCAGGTAAAACACCTCCTCCCAAGGTGCAACAGCTCAAGCAGGGCAGGAAAAGCTTGTCTGCATGCCTGAATGGAACAAAAACAGAAGGTCAAATTTGGTCAAGCATGTGTTAACCTTGCTGGGTTTGTATGTTACTTGTAAAGATGATTTGTATCATTAGATACTACTTTTATTTATTTTTTTTAATTGTTTATGGGTTTTGGTTACTTTTTAGATGGATGCAGAAATTGTGTACACACAGGACGCTCTTTCATTTATCGGTATCTCTTGTTAAAGCCTCAAAATAAATTTGATGTTTTAACGCTTTAGCATAACCACAAACATTAAATGCTTACAGATCCAGCCTTTAAATCGGGTTCATTCATTCAGTCATATTGTTTACTACAGAATCAAACGTTGCCTCGGTTACTCAGGATCCCCACCGCTTCCTTTAAAATGGTTTAAACTGAAGCGCTTCTCACATAAATTTGACTTTTTAAAATTTTCATCAGGAGGCATTCGGTTATGATTTCCTCTTTTCCCGTGAGAGTGATTTATCACAGTACTGCTCTACAAAAGAGGAAAGACAATCAAACACAGAAGTCAAATCAGACATTTGTGTCGATCTGTTTACGCCAGAAAATGGCTACTTACCTAATCTTGGCCTTTTCTTCATAACAACTAACGCTGTGAGTAACAAGGCTTGGACTCACTTCTTCACTTCCCAACAACATGGAGGGCGGTTTATGTTGTTTGGCTTCACACTACAACCAGCAGAATAAGAAACTCCCACAGACCTAATGATGCAGTGCATTCTGTGTACTTCACACTAAAAGTATGCAAAGAAGATGGACAAAAAGGGAGAAGCAAAAGATTCACAAATATGTAGTGAAAAAAAACAACAGATCTGACCTTTATTTTTATTTTTTCCAAACTCATATGTGTAGAAATTCATCCTTTTATTTATTTATTTTGGTCTTTTTAATCAAGCTGTTATTCTTTTGTGATTACTACCTGACGACTCGTCGCATGCTTCTTGTCTCCATTTCAAGCTAAAACCATTAACACATGACGGATACCAGTAGGGAGTTTATTTTTGAGACTTCCTGCAATTTGTATAAATCAAAATAAACAAATGTCTCTACATTTTTGCAAACTCCTATCAAACCCCACGCGACTCATACTCACCGGCTAAAGGAATGTTTTGTGTTCTCTTAACACTCGTTATTATATCTTCACCCTGCATGATTTTCTTCCATATTAATTAAAATGACACAAACTGGCATCCATGTTGGAATAACTGATGCTAAATAAAGTCTTTGTGAGAATTTCTTTTCTTTTTTTTTTTTTAGTGAAGGTAAGTAAATAGGGTAATGGCTAAACTAACAAGCTAGCACAGCTTGTTAGCTTGGAAGGATGCTAGCCTCACCTCGCCCCGGTGGATTCCTCCATCGGTTTATCTCCACCTTTTGCTTCATTTGGTGTGAAAGAGCGCTTTCATTTCCCGGCAGCTCTGTTTGCGAGGATAAATAAATGAATGTTTTTGCTCTTCCCGTGTGCAGTCTGGCTTGCCCACCAGGAAAGTCAGAAGGAAGGCTAAGGTCGATACTTCCAAGTTTATGACTCCCTATCTGGCCCACAGCCAGAAGATGCTGGATCAGTACAGCCACGTAAGGCGCTCGTGACTTTTACCAGCTTGTTTATGATATAACTATATTGGTATTTTGCTTTTGTTTGCTTCTTCAAACTGGACGATTTCATTCTGTATCCTCGGCAGAATAAATACCGCCAAGCTTATGAGCTGTCCAGAGGGCAGCCTCCCGCTTTCACCCCTGACACCCCTGAACTGATTCGCATCAGGAAGGCCCAGGAGCAGCTTAGTGAGGTATCACTAGTACCTGTCGCGCACTCTAAAGGAACAAAAAGACTGCTGTTTTGGATTTCTAACAAAAGAAATAATAAAAAAATTGAAATATTCACCAAAATAAGTCACGAAAGCCTGTTGCTGACAGGTGAAATACCGCATGGAGGGAAACAAGGCTCGGACAACCAGCTTGTACGGCGGTGACGCCAGAGAGGTGGTCCACGTCAAGCATGTGTCAGATCTGATCAGCAAGGTGAGCAACCTCAACCTTACGTCGGCGTGTAGACATTTTGAAACAGATTAGCAGGATATCAAATGTTGGTACTGACCTCTGATAATGTTGCTTCAGGTTCTGTACAGACAGAAGTGGGATGAGATGAAGGACAAGTACCTGCTGCCTCCCGACGCTCCTGAGCTGGTTCTGGCTGTGAAGAACGCCGCTAACTATAGCAAGGTAAATTCAGTCAGGAATTCAAGAGTTACTGTTTGCTTGTATGTTTTTCTTTTTTAAATATATATATAGTTTTGCTATTTCTGTAATTAAAAATGACTTTTTGTTTCCAGAAACTTTACACAGAAGCCTGGGACGAGGAGAAGACCATGTACTACCCTTACAGCGACAGCCCTGAGTTGCGCAGGGTGGCTAAGGCTCAGGAGGTCCTCAGTGATGTAAGCCGAATTAGGTTGAATTATCAAACCTCAGGGAATAAATTAAGTTAAAATACAAAAGCTGCAAATAAAAAAAATATATTAAAATATCAATTTGGCCTCGTCTTACCCCAACGTTCCCATCAGTTGTCCTTGTGGAAGCGACTGAACCCCGTCTTACGTTTGATTGGGTGAATGTACACAGTGCTTTATAATAGGTTTCTATTTTATATCCAGAACGGAGCACAGTGTGGATATAATATGATGTCAAATGTTACGTGGAGATTTCTGGCTAATATTAGTGGAAGTTTTTAATGTTTTAATATGAACATTTAGAACATTAAATTTATTGTATCGAAATTCCTCAAACACAAAAATTGAAATTTTCATCATAGCATGTTTTTTTTGTTTAGCATTTATGTACAAATGAAATGGATTACAAATCTAAATTTTTCATCCATCTTTCTCAATCATTTTCTTTTGTTTGAAAAACATTGAACTTTAATAATTCCTTTAAATGAAACCCCTCTTAATAAATTTCCTCCCACAGATTAAATATAAGAAGGGACACGATGAGCGCAAAGCCAAGTACACGTCCTTGCCCGATCCTCCAGAGGTGGAGCTGGCCAAGAGAGTCGCTCATCAGCGCAGTGACGTAAGCACAACTCCGTCCAATCACGTTCTACCATTAAGGAAATGATAATAAAGGCAGGAGCGTTGATGAATTAATCCCTTCTTTCATCTCAGGTTCAGCTATGCCTGTGCATGCATTAACCAGACAGAGAGAATATATTTACAGTGTACAAATAACAAATTTAAAGAGACAGCGAAAGGCTTTCTGTACGATATGTAATGACTGTTTTATTACCATGTAGAGATCCAATGAGTTCATACATTAAGAAAAGTTCAATTTACCACTCTAGATGTGGGGGAAAAAAATCACTATTTGTGTAGGTGTTGATATGTGTGGCATTAATCGATACCTAAGTCAACACGAATCACTGGTGAAATTATTATTTTTCTTTCAATTCGGCATTACGTGCAAGACTTGTACAACTACAAAACCGGATAAAATCGTCCGCAGTTATGCGCCGTTATAGAAACACAGACATCATCCAACCCTGAGCTGCTGCTAGGAATAACCGGCCACCTGCTCTTTAGCATTACTGTCCTCACTGAGCTGCAAGGGACAGGCTAACAATAGCTTCAGAAATTCTTCTGATTCCTCCTGTGTTTTTATTAAACACATGAACGGGTCGCGACACTGTTATAGATCCATCATTGTTACTCTAGAGCAACAATTAACTCTGATTCCTTGTCCCCCCCCTCCCCCCAACAGCTTAAATACAAGGAAGACTACAATAAAAACGTCAGGGGTCAGTGGTGTGAGACGCCTTACTTTGACATCGCCATCGCCAGGATGGCAATGGATAATCTCAGCGACGTGAGTGCTGTGATGAATGTCATTATTTCTGCTTTTGTTCCCTTGTGTCTTATTGTTGTGCAACTTCATTTTCCAGAGAAAATACACTCAAGAGTTTGAGAATATCAAAGACCAAATCTACTTCATGCAAACAGACACGCCCGTGTACGACGCATGCAAGAAGGCTCGCATTGCTGCTAGTGCGGTAAGCTCAGAGGAAGGCGTCTGATTGTTTTTCCTGTATTTGTGGAAGACTCGACAGCGAGTTGAGTTGAGCTCTCCGTCAGAGCACTGCGTGAGTCAGCCGAGTCCAATCTGATGCAGAAATTCTCACAAGCCGATTCACCGCAGTTACAGCCTGCCACAGGACCAACATTTCAACTGTTTTCAGCTTTTGAGAGATGAATAAGCAGCTTTCTGCTTGTTCACTGGTAATGTGAACATGTTGCATATCGTCACCTTCCTAAAATAATAGCCGGAGTCATTTTTTGCTAAAAGGATTAATTATGCAAAAAAAAAAGTTACTTTTGGCAAAAAAATGATTTAGACCATCGTTTTAGAAAGGTGGCGGTGATTGAAATGTCATTAAAGCAGCATTTTCTGCTTCAATTAGTAATGGACTTGAGTAAAACCCAAATTTTAAAACAAGATTTAACTAGATTTTATTTCAGACAGTAAAGTAGCAATTATCATTAATGTTAGTAACGAATAAACCACATAAATTAGTAGTTACAATCATGGTAGCTGATGATTCTGTTATTTTTTTTATCTTGTACATTGGCCTGATCAAAAACAAGAAAAAATATCCAGTAAATTTCGTAGAATAGTATTATATTGTTTGTTGTGATGTTTTTAATACAGTAATATGATTTTATCTGGTTAGTCATGCTATCTGCTCTGGTAGGGTTTGCCAACTGTAGTTTATAAACAGCAATAATTGGCACCATTTTAGTTTACACTCTATGACTGTTGAAATGTTTTCAGGGAGCTGAATTTATCTTTCTTTTAAACGAGGTAAAAGTGTTCTGCAATATGTGGGGGAGGGGATAGTACTTTGCTCAATGCCGACCAGAGAAAACTCAAATCACTCTGACACTTCTCATTAGAACGACTTGACCCTGAAAGAATGGAAAGAAGGATATTTTATATGCTGTTTAAAACCTTTCTGTGCCTTAGCTAGTTTCAGTTTAACTGGTCAACGTTATCAGCAGCGTAAGTGACCCTCACTGCTTGTCTGTTTTCTCTCACATGTCTCTGTTCCTACTTTTAGGTCCAATACAAGAAAGAGTTTGAAAAGACAAAATCCCAGTGTGACTACAATACACTCCCCGCTACAGAGAATCCGCTCCTGAGACAGCTCAGATACGCCGGCACCATCCTTAGTGATGTGGGTCCTATTCAGTTTCTTATTTGTTTTATCGTAAATATAGTCCAGTGCTTGTTTTCTTTTGTGTTTAAAATGTTGCAAAATTTTTGATATTTACTGTTATTTTCTCTTATAAGTCACTGAAACAGTCAGGTAGTTTATTTTCTAACCAGTTTCTGAATCACATTAACTTATCTTTTAATTATGTATGTTGCCATTTTATATACATATTTTTTTCATATTTTTGTTCAATATTTAACGCTGTTTTTTGTCTTCTTTTTCTCGTTCCTTTAACAGAAAGTATATAAGGCCAGCTATGAGAAGTCCAGGGGTTTCAGCATCAACTACTGTGACACACCAAAGTTTCAGATGGACTCAGTGCTTAAAAAGTTCTCTGATGTAAGAACCTGGTGGTTTATCAAATAAGCATTCCTCTTTTTCTCTTTAATACATTAATTTGTCCACTGTAACATTCTAGATACATTACAAAGAGAAGTATGACAAAGAGGTAAAGGGACATTATATCGGCAGCTATGAAGACCTCTACATGGTTCACTGCCAGAAAGTTGAGGAATTTAAGAACGAGGTATGTGTGTGAACGGAGAGTTTTACACTCGAAATCATTATGTTGAGCTAAGATTTTTTTTTTTTGTCTCGTTCAAAGCAACAATTTCTAATTGCATATTTCCCCCCACCCCAGCAATTATATAAAGCGGAATATGAAGACATAAAAACGAGATGCTTCTTCCCTCAAACGGTCACACCTGAGTACGAGGCTACGAAGAAGCTTCAGCAGTGCAGTGACGTAAGTAGTTTTCTCCAGTAAAGTACGTTCAAGCTCTCATTAAGATTCCTTTCCGTCTATATCTATAGTTGTACGCATGACACGTTTTCTTCTTCGGTGGTTTTCAGAAAACCTACCGGCAACATCCCGACAAAGTGAAGTTTACACAAGTGGTGGATTCGCCAGTCCTCGTCCAAGCCAGCATCAACGCCAAGCAGCTAAGTGACGTATGTGACATTTGAAACCATTTCAGTCTCATATCAAAGCAGAGACGGTTTTTAGTGAGGCATTTGTACAGCATAGCATTTTAAGTAGCTTTTTTAAAACCACAAACGGGTGAACCATCATGTCTGTTAAAAACCAGGATAAAATTGATAAATAAAGGCTTGAATATTTATGTACAACCCGATTGTACATAAATATCGGGTACAATCGGTACCCGATATTTAATGATCACAAGCTAGATGCTTGTGATCATTAACAAGCATCTAGCATTGCGCAGCAGATGTATGACCACATTTTAACTGGTTGGTTTCTGGCATAAGCACCTCTTTGAAGCCTAGTCCAAGTTTTAACCATCTAGTTGTCGATTAGAAGTGAAGCTGCAGAATTTCCTTCTTTGTGCGAGGCGCCAGTACAAACCCTCAGCAGCTACCGTTCTTGATAGTGACCGTTTTCTTTGGCAGTCAAAGTGATTGTTTACTTTGAACATATTTCTTTAAATTGTAGCCAAACAGCTGCATCTTTGTCACATTTAGCCATAAAATATTCTCATAGAAGCCATTTTGTTTGTCCATGTTGGCAGCTGCAAATTTCAGTCAGGTTCGAAAATGCTGACTTTGCTACCCCATCGTGCTCAGTAATCAAAAATGAGTGGTCGACGTGCAACTTTCCAAGCCACATTCAACCTGATATTAATATATATTTCAGCCTACATATTTAGGTTTGGCCACTTTAAGTAAATACGCAAAAAATAGACTTGTGCGTCTAACTTCTGTTTGTATTACATGTTAAGGGGCCGACTATGTTTCAGATGGATCAACAAAGTCTCAGAATTAACAAGACATTAAAAGGCATAATAATTATATTTAAACTTCCACCTGGACAGTGTTGCGATCTCCTCTTCACATACAGGTCCATCTAAATAAATGTGAATATTATTTAAAAGTTCACTTATTTATGTCACTCAATTTACCAAGTGAAACACATTATTTAGATTACATTAATGTTTAGAATGTAACATTAGACCAGTAACAAAGTAATGAAAAAATACAGAAATTTGGGGCTTTTATCAAAGGTGTGTTTATTAGCTGGCCACAGGTTATTATCAAAATGTAAATTTAATCCATCTCTTATCGAGATGGATATTCAAATTTACTGAGATGTAACCTGCAAGGTGGTTTAAAAACATTTATTTACTGTTTAATTAGCGACCAAATGTTTTCAAGTCATCTGCTGGGGCCTCAGATCAAACTCTCCTGCTAAAGCGGATCGCCGTTAACTGTATCCAATCATCCGTGTAGCCCAGATGTCTTTCTATGGGCTCCATGGAAACTGGAGAGCCGTTTCTCTGCAGTATAAATAGAAACAAGCATTCACTTGGCCCAGAATAAAATCTGTCATCAGATAGGGCCTTGGCAAGGAGGAAGGAGCCGGAGAAGCCGAAGTCAGCATACTGCTGCCCTCTACTGACGGGAAACCGTAGGACGATTGGTCCAAACAGAACAGAGGGTTTTAATCGAATGCTTTTTCTCTCGCAGTTGAACTACAAGGAAAAGTTTGAGAAAACAAAGTTCAAGTACACGCTCCCCCCAGACTACCCCTTCTTCATCCAGTCCAGAGTTAACGCCTACAACCTGAGCGAGGTGAGTAAAATTCAAATCCGTCTCTAAAACCGAATCGCTTTTTAAACCGATTGAGTGTTCGGATTCGTTAGCGGCCGCTTATTGTCGTTGCAGAGCTGCTATAAGTACGACTGGGAGAAAACCAAAGCAAAGAAGTTTGAAATCAAGGGTGACGCCATCCCAATCCTGGCCGCCCGTGCTCACACAAACATTGCCAGCGACGTAAGTGCCTGCCCTCATAAATGTCTGCGTTGTTGTTTTCAGTTTTATTATAATTTTTTTTATTATCATTTTATTGCCGTGCTTCTGCTTTGTCCCTGCAGGTTAAGTACAAAAAGGAGTACGAGAAGAACAGGGGACACATGGTTGGAGCCCTCAGCATTAATGACGACCCCAAGATCTTGCACTCGGTTCATGTTGCCAAAATCCAAAGTGATGTGAGTTGTCAGGGTCAAATCAATCAAATCGAGTTCATTATTGGCGAGAAAAGAAAAACGAATACTCAAACCAAATCTCACCGATTTATCCACAGCGCGAATATAAGAAGAACTATGAAAAAATCAAGACCAAGTACCACACACCACTGGATATGATATCAGTCACCCTGGCCAAGAAGTCCCAGGCAATCGCCAGCATGGCGGGCTACAGGAAGATCAACCCCAACTACTTCCTGCCTTACGACAGCGTGCTGCTGGACACGGCCAAGAAAGCCAACGCCATCCAGAGTGATGTAAGCAGACAAGATTTTACAAGCTGGTTCACATTTTGTTTATGTTCCAATGTGTAGATATTTCTTTTCGCTGACGTCCTTATGTTTATTTTTTCCATCAAAGAATGAGTATAAAGCTGAGTACAACAACTACGTCAAAGGAACCCCATGGATCCCGTACGGCTCCATGGATGTAGAAAAGGCAAAGAAAGCTACTGAGATTCTCAACGAGGTACGAGTGAGAAGCAGTGTTCCTGCTAAAACAATCATATCTGTTACCTGGAGAAAGATTTAATGTCTTTATTTTACACCTCCTTTTGTCCTTGTAGAAAAAATACCGACAGCCTCCAGACACGATTCCATTCACAGCCATAGAAGACCATCCCATCATGCTGCAGTCTAAAGTCAACCAGCTTCAGAGGAGTGATGTGAGTCCACCGCCCAGTGAACTCTGAATTATTTTGGCTTTTTTTTAGTCTGTTACTTTATGTTTGTGCGAGTTCTTACGGCCTTTTATCCACACAGCTGTTCTACAAGAGAGGTCTGGAGGAAATCCATCAAAAGTACTCTTTGCCTCCTGATGCTCCAGAGTTCCTCCAAGCCAAGTGTAATGCCTACAACATCAGCAAGGTAGCGCATCCATCTATACATGTCTGCACTGGATTGGCACCTTAAGGCTGCTGGGGGAGCTGAAGCCTTTCTCCAGTGGTCATTGGGCGAAGGTACACAGGGTCCCAAGAGATGGACAAGCATGTGTACATTTCCAAAAGACACACTCTCCTCCCACAGTCCAAAAACTGTCGTAGGAAGCTGGAGTATGGAGAACATGCAAACACCATGCAGTAAGATCCCAGGCCGGGATTTAAACCCAGGACCTTCTTGCTGCAAGGCAACAGGGCCAAGAACTTCTCCACTATCCAGGCTGCACACAAAACCCTTATACTTTAAAGGCTTTAAAATTAACCAAATAACCAAATATTTAATTGTTAATCTTTTTTCACACTTGGCTGTAAAGTCTAACTTTACCTATGGAATAAGTTTCAGAGTATATTGTAAAACCAATCACATTCCTTTGAGATTTTGTCTGTCATATATAAATCATGTGGTCAGTTTTTCTATTTTCTTATGTTAAATCATTATTATAGCTGTAGTAAGTAACTTTTATTTAAAAAAAAAATATATATATATATATATATATATATATATATATATATATATATATTTTTTTTT